GTAGCTTTGGTGGTTGCCTCACCCATGGGTTAGTGTAGGGGTGCAAGTGTGTGTTTTTAGAAGTTGATGGCAAGCGCATAGTCGTTGAGGATGCTTTTTAATAAAGAAGCTACAACGATGGAGGCCTCAACGATGATAAGGGTGTCATCGATGTATTATAGCATAGTGGGTGAAATGTGGGTGTAGTTGGATGGTGCAATACAAGTGGTTTTATTTTGTCTGATCAATCGTTGTAGAAGGTCCACAACTATGAGGAAGAGAAAGGGAAAAGGGAGTCTTCTTGTCTTAGCGAGTTTTTAGGTTAATCCAAACCCTTGGAAGCCCGTTAAGTAGAATGGCAGTCTTGCCGGTGGAAAAGATGTTTTTTACCCATGAGCAACATAGGACGGGGAGTAGATCCTATATTGTAGTCTTTCTGAGTAAAGGAGGAAACATAATAATGTTTGAGGGTAATATCGAGTTATTCTTAACAGTAATCCAAACATTTGCTGTACAAACCAACACCAATGACCATGTAAAGAAACTAGCCATGTTAAATTGCAGTAAACCACCTAGTTTTTATGTACAATACACAATAAGAGTCAAAGTTATGAAATTTGCACCACTTTATTTGTTTAGTACAAATCAACAGTGGGTTTCATCTTTGCATGCCCCCTTTGATTCAAAAGTACCATTAAGATTCTTATTCCTTGTGTATTTTTCCTACCAAAATATTTTTGTGTAAGAATACTTCGATTTTCTTAGGACACGAATATCTAGCGACCGTCGGATTTTTAGGCACGACAAATCAAATGGTTTTCATGGCAAATCATATTCGACGAGGATGACAAGTTTAGTTGGCAAGCATGATAAGTTGAGTTTAGATATCTTCGTATCTAGACAAATCCAAAATAAGTAATTCGGAACGTAGGGAGTACTGATTTCTCATCGAAAACCACTGATTCCTGCATGTACTACTACTGTACTTGCATCTCTTCATGAAAGAAATCCGGCCAGAACATGATCCATTTCCTTATCCCCTCGAAGCCAGCGGCGGCATAAACCAGCTCCCCGCACACCTCCTCGCCCGCTTTCCCTCCCTTTGACTCCTCCCACCACCAAAACCGCGGGCCGCATCCCGCGCCGCCCACCGGCGGCAAAGCCACCGCCGCTTAATAAAACCGCCGCGACCGGCGCACACCAACCCCCACCCAGCCATGGCGTCCTCTCTCCTCACCACCCCGTCCCAGACCCTCGCCCCCACGCCCGCCGCGGCGCGCGCCCGCGGGTACTCGCCGGGGGCGGCCCAGGTGTCCTTCTCCTCGCCCCGCCTCCCGAGCCGCCGCGCGCTGCGCGTGCGCGCGTCGGTCGCGATCGAGAAGGAGGTGCCGGAGAACGAGGCGCCGACGACGTTCCTGCGGGAGGACGGCTCCGGGGCCGGGTCCGGGTCCGTGCGCGAGCGGTTCGAGGGCATGATCCGGCGGGTGCAGGGGGAGATCTGCGCCGCGCTCGAGGAGGCCGACGGCAGCGGGAAGCGGTTCGTGGAGGACGTCTGGTCGCGCCCCGGGGGCGGCGGGGGCATCAGCCGGGTGCTCCAGGACGGCAACGTGTTCGAGAAGGCCGGGGTGAACGTGTCCGTCGTCTACGGGGTCATGCCCCCGGACGCCTACCGCGCGGCCAAGGGTGCCGCGAAGAACGGGGCGGCCGATGGGCACAAGGCTGGGCCTGTGCCCTTCTTTGCCGCTGGCATCAGCTCGGTAAGAGCTTGTTTCCTTGTGCATTGACATGAAAAGTTGGATCTGCTTTGAATTAGGATGCAATGTCCCAATTTTGGACATTGTGATGCCTTGTTTTTAGGATGTGTAACCAGAAGTGTGTTTATGTGTGGTACATTGTAGTTGCATGTAACTTATTTGGCCTTTAGACAATAGGGTGTGTGCAAACTGTCAGCAGATCATCGAAGCCTGTTCTCTGCAGCTTGACAACAAGAGTCTAGATTCTTCACATTTCTGATGCCATGAACCTATTTTATCTTCATGGTCTCCATAGCACTCAAATATTTCATCTAATCTACAGAGTTAATCTTGTGTGCGGTGAGTGAACTGCAGTTATGGGGCTGATCTATTTGCTGCTACTGCTTTAAAAACATAATTCCAGAACAGTATTTGCTTCCCAGAGATGATTCTTGTTGATATCAAATGGATCTGATCATTTTAGAGGTTTAGTGGTAACTGTTGCATTAAGGCAGTGGTACCCTGAAACCTGAATTAGGGGTGTGTTTTCTCCATTTTATCATTTTTGTATTCCAAGCACTGGTCCGTTAATCATTTACTTTTGTTATACTGCTTATTTTTATCTCCTATCAATTTCTTTTGCTAAGATTGTCTGTTAGTTCAACACTTTTTAGTGTTATACCATATTTGGGGGTGTATTAATGGTTGCTTGTTTATACTTTCAGGTTCTTCATCCCAAGAACCCATTTGCTCCAACATTGCATTTCAACTATCGTTATTTTGAAACAGATGCACCAAAAGGTATTTCTGCTAGCAAATTTCGAAATATCATTTTGTAATTTATGTAGAGTCATTTCATCCTATATTTTTAATCATTATCCAAGGTCATTATCTAATTTTCTGCCTGCAATTTTTGATATGTACACCAGTTCATGTATAAAGGCCCATAATACACAGCAATTACACTCTTTTCCTTTTCCTTTATGATAATGTACAAGATTTGACTCCCCAAATACCTCTATTGGAACTCAGCAAAATTACTAATGTCTAAATTCAAATTTTAAGCATGGCCATCGCTGTTAATATTTTTTGAATTAATTGGCAATTAGTTTAAGTCACTCAAATGTTCTTCATTGTTAGGAACTGTGATCTTTAATACTCAATAGGCTATAATTTCCAACTGTAGATGTACCTGGTGCACCAAGGTCATGGTGGTTTGGAGGTGGTACTGATTTGACTCCTTCCTATCTCATTGAAGAGGATGTGAAGCATTTTCATTCTGTATGTCAGCGCTTCCTACGTCTTTCAAATCTATGCTTCATACTCACAGGCACCCACCCACTTTCTGATAATATCAGTAGTATCATGCTATCTGGGCTCCTTCCTAGTTATTATTCTAATGCTATACTTATTTCTGAAATTTTGCTATTTTTTTCTATCTCTATTCCTGTATTACACATGCTTAATAAATCAAATGGGATGTTGTTGACTTCTATAGCATAATTTGTTTTCATCACACAAAGGGAAACACCTTACAGTCCTGTAGTTTGCACTTTGACAGTCCAACCCATTTGACATAAGACATATGACCTTCACCTTCACCTTCTTGAACCCATATTTGTGCAATTGTACATCTGGTTGCTGGGTTACAAAGAGTGACGCTTTAATGAGCAAGACTCTTTTATGATGTTGTTAACCTTGGGAAGAATTAGAACAGCAGAAACTGAAGAGCGTGTGCCTGCTAATTAATGTTGATTAATGGGTAGTCTTGACAGTCGAACACTTTAGATGGTGATCCTGTGTGTGGAATATAACTCATTTTGATGTTTTTTTGTCTGATTTCAGGTTCAGAAACAAGCTTGTGATAAGTTCGATCCAAGTTTTTACCCAAGATTCAAAAAATGGTGCGATGATTATTTCTATATTAAGGTATGATGATTTTTTCACTGTGTACTACTCAGTTGTACTATATAGAGAATTTGTTCTATGTTCCTTTTGCAATTGCATGACTTGTCAAGTTTACAAAAGTATGTGTTGATTGATGACTTGGTACGAACACCTACAGTTTTCCGACAAAATAATCTTGATAATGTTGCTGTGTAATTGTACTGGGTAGTTGGTAATCCTGGAAATGAGATATTGTTTGTTCTTGGCTAGGTAGACTCTTGGTAAACTATCAGTGGTTACATGTAAACGTTCCAGCGCTCATAGTTTGTCTTTCGATGCAGCATCGTAATGAGAGACGTGGGCTTGGCGGAATATTTTTTGATGATCTTAACGATTATGACCAAGACATGCTTCTGAACTTTGCTACAGGTAAATCTCCTAAGTCCTTGCATGATGAGCAAAAAATGGAGTGAATTGAATTCAAGTAGCTTGGTACACTGATTCCTGAATCAGTCTCTACTTGGGATATATTGAACTTGCAGGGCTCCATATATTTGGACCTTCTTCCTCCCTTTTTTTAGTTTAACCCGGTGAATCTATGAAATCCTACTAGACAAATTGCTCTGAATTGCAGAACTATAGCTATAAGCTATGATAACAAGACTTACTTGCCTTTCCTTTCTGCAGAGTGTGCCGGTTCTGTAATTCCTGCATACATACCCATCATAGAACGTCGCAAAGACACTCCATTCAATGAGGAGCAGAAGGCATGGCAGCAAGTGCGGAGAGGTCGCTATGTGGAGTTCAACCTTGTAAGCAAGCTTACTTGAACACAATCACAAGTGATATTCTTGCTTCAGTGTCTTTGTTTGGTTTTAATGTATGCTTTCCTTTGAAGGTCTACGATCGTGGCACCACATTTGGACTCAAGACCGGGGGAAGGATCGAAAGTATACTTGTCTCCTTACCACTCACTGCACGATGGGAGTATGACCATGTAAGCTAAATGTTCCCTTTTACCCTCCTTACAAGCTCAATAAGTAGCATGGGAAGTGTCATGTTTTCTTGCTTTAGAACCGTATAACTTTTGATATTGTACTGTCTGAATTGTTGAATTTTCAATGAGGGTCCCGTATAGGGTTCTTATGTATGTTAAATGGACCATTTTAGATTGAGTCCATGCAACTAATCTTGTAACATTCGTAGCATCCTCAAGGCCCTGCAAGTTGGCTAACATGACCTTTTCGTTTGCAGAAACCTGAGGAAGGGAGCCAAGAGTGGAAGCTTCTCGACGCGTGCATAAATCCAAAGGAGTGGCTCTGATTAGCTGAGGTTGTTTGTTCTTTCAGTCTTTTTGTTAGTGTTCCTCACTCTGTGTAGCCTTGAGATCCCCAGCCATGTGTAGTTCCTTTTTTGCTCTGTAGAGTTTTTGATAAGCACATGAAGGTGTAACGGTTTAGTTCCATCAAGCTTTGTACCTGCTGTACCTGTTTCCTTCCGAGATGAATGAAGGATAAACTGTGCGGTTGGAATTGTCCTTGCCTCCTTGGTACTCTTTGTACTGAAATTTTGGCTCTCCAACATGCCTCTATTAGTGATATTACTAGAGCCATTCATCAATCTTGTGTCCAAACCGAGGAGCCATTCTTCAATTTGGGCATTCTGGTGCTACTATCCAACATTCATTTTTCGTGATGGATAATCTGGAGAGCTCGCAAGGATCAATTGTCCAACAGGAAGAGCAGCTCTCCCCTAGAGGTTTGACATGCCGCCGGAGCTGTGACGAGCAGAGCAGAGCCGAGTGAAGATGCGCCACAAACGTGAAAGTCTTACAAGGTTCATCAGCATCGCTTCTGATCTTCTTTTGTAAGGAGACTGTTGGTTGGAGGACTCCTACTCATCCAGTAGATCAGTGTCCAGTCCTTCACCCAGCCAATCGGCCGCGAAAGCGGCCAATGGCGCGCTCAAGCTGTCTGATCTCCACTGCGTCAATCGACAACGCACAGCCGTTTGGAACATGAGCCGTGTTGCGACCCTCCAAAAAATGCAATCCCAACTCTCTGAATCCAAGTTTCTCTGAAACTGAACCCAACTCTCTCTGAATATGTGCAACTCTGCAACCCTCTCTGCAATCCGGCTACCCCCTTACCCACACACACTGATCGGTCGATCGACGCCGAGCACCTCCCAATAAATATCTCCGTGCTTCCAGGGAAGGGGAGGTGCGAAGAAAAGTTTGACATGAAAAATCACACTTTTGTTTAATTAATTTTACTACGAAGACTTTGTCTCTGCCGACCAACACTGCTTCTAGGGTGACCACTCAAGCGTTCGCGCGCTCGTCATGGTTGCGTGCGACTTTGTCCTCCCTCCATGCCTCACGGTGCGTCTCCCCGACAACGACGTCGTTGTTGTCAAGCTGGAGAGCCGCGCGCTCTTCCGTCACGGCTCCGGGGCATCGCCCTTCAGCTCTGAGGACGGGGACGACGGCTCCCTATCCTCCCTCTCATCAAACCCTCGCTTCTCACCCTCCACCGTTACTCAAATCAGAAACATTGCCACGGCCATGTCACCATTTGCATGCACCCCGGAGTCGCCCTTGGGCCCTCCCCCATCTCCCACTGCTGACAGGCCGCTCGACGGCACCCCAATCCTCGCAGTCATGGCTGACGGCATGCCCGTTGCCATGCTTGTTCATGCCCCATGGTCCCCTCCCGCTCGCCCCCCTCTCCACAGAAGCTGCACGCTCGCTCGCGCCATGCACGCCCCCTTCTTGCACTGCCAGCCCCAACATCTCCTCTTCCTCTGCCACCTACGCCGCCTCCTCCACCATCCACACCTGCCCTTCAGCCGCTCCCCCTTCCTGTGGATCTCTCCGTCCAGCCATTGGACCTGCCCCCGGAGCCTACGGACGAGTGCCTTGCCAGGCGCATCAGCAGGCGCGCCAAGATGGCTGTTGACTCCGGCATCAAGGCCAGACGCAGCGCTAGGCTGGCTGAAATAGAGCCGCCTATCTACTCTTCCATGACCTCCAAGGCCATGCGCTCCAAGGCAAAGAAGCTCGACCTATCTGCTGCTTCCAAAGATCTCTCCGACGCCCTGATCCACGCTCGGCTCTACGACGACTCTGGGCTCATCGACGGCTCTGCTCGCGGTCCTGCCTCGCCTGAGGACCTGGCCGCCGTTGCTGCTGCCTGCGGCGCCACGCCGGAGATGCTGGCGAACCTCGCTTCCGGTTCTGGTGGCCTGGGATCGCCATGATGTGCTCTCTTCTCCGCGGCCACGTGTGTGGCGGCCATGTCTGGCCATGTATCCGGGGCCTCGCTCCGACCCGTAGTCGCTGTGTTAGGTTTAATGTAGTTGTGATGCTGCTCATGCCTGCTTCTGTCAGTTTGTCGTACTGTACCTTGACCCGAAATGGTTGCTTGTCGGGTCAATACCCCTATGTAAGGTGCCAACTTAAGTTTCCATTATGAAAAACGCTACCTACTCTATCGTCTCCTGGAACGTTCGCGGTCTAGGAGACAATGATAAGTGCTCCAATGTGTTCTCTGAAATCAATCTCTTACGCCCATCCATTGCCCTTCTTCAAGAAACCAAACTACAAAAACCAGACATAATCAAACTACGATCGATCTTGCCGTGCTTCCTAGACTCTAATAACCACCTCGACGCAATCGGAACGGCGGGAGGCATTCTCTCGGCTTCTAACTCACGTTGCTTCTCGCTTCTCAACTGCCAACACAGGCGTTTCACATCCACATTAACGCTATCATGTTTTGCATCACCACACAACATCTTCATCACTAATGTCTACGCCCCCTCGCAACGAGAGCTAAAGCTAGTTTTCCTTGACGAACTGAAACAGATCGAACCACCACCTCAATCTCCTTGGCTCCTAATAGGTGATTTCAACCTTACTTGATTCCCCAATGAACGCAACAACGACAACTTTAGACGATCGGAGGCAGACGCCTTTAACGACACCATCGACCAACTTGCACTCTTAGAGCTACCGCTCCTTGATAGACAATTTACCTGGTCAAATAAAAGACTATCCCCCACGCTGATTCGCCTAGATAGGGTTCCGATCAATCTATCTTGGAATGCTCTTTTCCCCGACTCACACCTCACCTCCCTCACTCGATTTGTCTCTGATCATGTTCCACTCCTCGTCACCGTATCCACATCCGTCCCATCTTCCCGCCTTTTTCGATTTGAACGATTCTGGACCTCCTTCCCAGCCTGTTCTAACATTGTGCGCGGCTGCTGGCAGCCCGGCCCACACCGCCACGGTGGGCTTTCCATTGATCCTGCTGCTTCTCTCGCTCAAAAAATTAAAGGTACAAGATCAGCCCTAAAGTCTTGGGCCAAGTCGCTGCGGCCCATCAATCAACGGGAAACAAATTGCAAACTCGCTCTCCAGGCCCTTGACCTAAACGAGGAATTCGCTCCTCTCTTTCCGATCGAACAAAAACTAAGGCTCACGCTCTCCAATTTGCTACAACGTACCATCAAACAAAAAATCGCCTTCTGGAAACAGAGGGGAAAGATCAGGGTCGCCATTGACGGCGATGAAAACACTCGATTCTTCCACGCCTCGGCTACGCAGCGCTCTCGATCAAACAAGATTCCCATGCTTTTACACAACACTTCTGAAGTTTTTCTGCATGAACAAAAAGCTGACATCTTAAAAGACTTCTTCCAATAGCTCATCGGGACCACAAAAATGCAACATGGAACTTCAGCTTGCAACAACTGTACCCCTCACCCCTCCCCCAGCTCAGTGATCTTGCACAACCTTTCTCTCATGACGAAATATACCAAGCCTTCCTCTCTATGAACACCAATGCTAGCCCTGGACCAGATGGCTTTGGACCCATCTTCTACAGAAAATATTGGAATGATATCAAACAACCCATCCTAACCTTCTTCTCTACCTTCCATGATCAAACTGCTTCCTTAGAACGATTCAACCGGGCCTACATGGTTCTTCTTCCAAAATTTCAGGCACCAACAACCCCAGACGCGTTTCGACCCATATCTCTTCAAAACTGCACGCCAAAAGTAGTTGCCAAAGTCCTCACCAATAGAGTTAAACTCTCATCCCACTGCTCATACATTATGACCAGACTGGCTTCCTTCATGGACGTAATATTGCTGAAAATTTTATATACGCTGCCGATATCCTCAGTGCATGCCTCTCCCGTAAAGCCCCGACCATGATTTTCAAGCTCGATTTCAGGAAAGCCTTTGACTCCATATGCTGGTCCTCCCTCATACTAATCTTACAAGCCTGCGGTTTTCCCTCTGACTTCTGTTCTTGGGTACAAAATATCCTTCTCACTGGGAAAACAACTATCCTTTTAAATGGCGTTCCAGGATCCTGGATTCAATGTAGATGTGGCCTCCGCCAAGGTGATCCCTTCTCGCCGTACTTATTCATCATCGTTGCCGACGTCCTTCAACGTCTAATCGCAAAAGTGTTCCAAACCAATGTTCTTTGTCACTTACGGCCTAACGAACCACCTGTGACACTTCAATACGCTGACGATACCCTGATAATTGCTGCGGCTAGCGACGCCGCCACCATTATCCTCAAAAACACCCTTCATGACTTCGCCCTTGCAACGGGGCTAGTCATCAACTTCCAAAAAACGGCTCTTCTAACCATAGCCACCGACTCTTCCACGCAAAACAGCATTGCCACAGCGATTGGTTGTTCCTTATCCTCCTTCCCGCTAGTGTATCTAGGTCTACCACTCTCCCCCACCAAACTGCCTCTCACAGCTTTTGACCCGATCATAGACAGCTTTCGAAAATTCCTCTTTGGTTGGGTGGCCCGCCTGCTCTCTCGGGGGGCACGTCTCACCCTGCTAACTGCGGTTCTTGACTCCTTAACAGTTTATTTTATGTCCGTCTTTCGCCTACCAAAATCGATCATAGCCAAACTAGACGCCATCCGGAGGGCGTTCTTCTGGTCTAACGAGCCAACTTGCACTGGGGCGAGCTGCCTGGTCGCGTGGAAAAACGTTTGCAAACCTAAAGATACTGGTGGTCTAGGCATTAAAAATCTGGAAGTTCAAAACCGTTGCTTGCTTATGAAATTCTCCTCCAAAATTCTACAACACCCAAACATCCCCTGGACCCAATGGTACCACCACCAATACCCTCTTGGCATTGCAGCAAAAACCTCAAAACCCTCCTTTCTCTGGAAGATCATCAACAACAACTTGCCACTGCTAATTGAGCACTCATTTGTGCTCACATACAATGGTCTATCCACTTTCTTTTGGCTTGATAAATGGTTATTGCAGTCTCCCCTCCAAAAAGTCTTCCCAAACCTCTTCTCACACTCCATTGATGACAAGGTTTTAGTGGCTACTGTTTGTCAAACCAGCTTGTTGGCGAACCTACGGAACCGTCTGTCTAATGCCGCGGCTCGCGAGTTGGATTGTGTGCTGTTGTTGTTGCAGGATTTCCAGCAAGCGGACCAACCTGACGAAAGGTCCCTCACCCACGGACTACCGTTCTCTGCCAAGAACGCCTACTCCTCCATTATTGCTGAAGATGATACAAACCCTCACCATGACTTTGTCTGGGCTTCCAAAGTCCCGATCAAAGTCAAGATCTTCGCATGACTCCTCCTCCGTGACCGGCTCAACACGAAGGCAAACATGTTTCACAAACACATTGCCCAATCTGCCGCATGCCCGCGCTGTCAAGACCCTCATGAAGATGCAATCCACCTCATCTCCAACTGTTCTTACGCTACACAGGTTTGGTCCTCCTTGGGCCTGCCGGCCCCGACCTCCCTCGCTGCTCTGCTCCAACACCCAACGCTTCATGGCCTCAATCCCAATATCTGGTCATCGGTGGCTCTGACTATCTCTTGGAAGCTATGGGATTCCAGAAACGCGCTCGTCTTCAGGAACGAGGATCATACCCACAGAACCACGATACGGAACATTGTTGCTGATTTCTCTCTATGGGTTTTTCTGTTCAAAAAGGAAGAAGACAATATCTCCGCTAGACAATGGCTTCACTTCCTCTCTTCAGCTGTACCCTAATGATCATGTTGTAACCAAACTACTATTGTAATTCT